CTGTGGCATGGGCGGAGGGTGTGAGCTCCTGCACCAGGCTGGCTCCCCCGTCCACTCTCCCTCTGCTGAGGAGGGCAGTGAGGTCTCAGGTCCTTAGAATGACACAGCTGGTCTCCAGGGAGGCATCAGAATGGAGGCGGCCGGCCTGAAGGGCTGCCACATGAGCTCTGGGAGGTGGAGGCCAGCAGAAGGCGCGACCTTGGCCTGGTTATGTCTGGCCACTGGCTAGACAGGCTTCTCCAAGGAGAGCCTCCAGGAGGGGGCCGCTGGCACATTGAGCACTTGGCGACGGGCGTGAACATATCGTAGAAGCTATGCCTTGTCCACAAGGTGGCTGGTATGCCTTCACTGAGTGCCGGCTGTGGGGTGGCCGCCACATGCTTGTCTCATGGCCCTGAGACACCGGGGCTCTTAAAGTCAGCATGCTCAGTGCACAGGCAGTGAGCATGCGCAGTGCACAGGGGCTCAGTCAGTGAGCATGCGCAGTGCACAGGAGCTCAGCCAGTGAGCATGCGCAGTGCACAGGGGCTCAGTCAGTGAATATGCGCAGTGTACGGGGCTCAGTCAGTGAGCATGCGCAGTGCACAGGAGCTCAGCCAGTGAGCATGCGCAGTGCACAGGAACTCAGCCAGTGAGCATGCGCAGTGCACAGGAACTCAGCCAGTGAGCATGCGCAGTGCACAGGGGCTCAGTCAGTGAGCATGCGCAGTTCCCAGGGGCTCAGACAGCCGTCATAATACACAGGGGCTCAGTTGGTGACAGGCACAGTGCAGGGGAGCTCAGCCATTGAGCATGAGCATTGCACAGGGGCTCAGTTAGTGCTGTGCACTGGCGTTCAGAAGGTGAGCATGCGCAGTGCACAGGCACTCAGCCCGTGAGCGCGCACAGCACACAGATGCCTGAGCGGTGAGCATGCGCACTTCACAGAGCTGGTGCCATGCACAGACGTTCAGATAATGACCATGCGCAGTGCACGGGTGATCGGAAAGCAAGCATGTGCAGTGCACACACGCTTGGCGCATGTGCAGTGCAGAAGGAACGGGTTCCATCTGGCTTCCTAAGGATGATTCGAACAACCGAGCAAGTCAGCACCAAGTAATAGTCTCAGTGGCTGATCTGATTGGAGGGGCTCCCCCTGTCCAGGGCCTTGTGCACCCCGAGTGTGTGTGTGGGGGTCTGGCTGGATACAAAGGTAGGGCTCGTACACCAGCTGCTTTGGAACAGACCCAGGAGATGCCCCGACCTAAGGATCCGGTTGATTTGAATTCCTGAGACTCTAGCTGTAAGACAGACCCCGGATGTTCACCTGAGACAGACGCCTGGACAGTCACCCTCAGGCCTTGGGCTGAGATGAGGCCTACAGGGGACTGCAGGCGGCGCATGGCCTTCCTAGGCTGGAAGTGCTTTGCACCCAGAACCACACACGTGGAGGAGTGCTCAGCACACGGCGAGGTGGCGAAGATCGCTTTGGAAGGAGGGGTGAGGGCATGAAAACATTCTGCTCAGTGACAGGAGTAGAAACGACGTGCGCCTTTTATGGACACTAGGCATCAGGAGAAGCAGCTTGCCTTCCACAGTTCCTTCACTCCCCAGTGACTGCAATGCAGCTGTGATGGTAGGCGTGGGAGCAGCCAAATGAACCATGAGAATGGGGCAGAGTCCTAAGAAGCATGGAGTGACCATCTGTAAGGAGGGTCAGTGGCTTTGCCCTGGAGGGAGACCCGAAATATCCACTCTGAACTACAGAATACACGAAAGAGAACTATGCTTCCTTCCTGGTTTATGTCATAGCAGCAGAACCATCGTCCAACTTCCACAGAAGGGATTACCATAGACAGTGCCAGTCTGTGGAAACACGGGGAAGAATTCCCATCAGACATCTTACTTTCCTCCTGTGTTTGTTTGTTTCCTCTGTTTGTAATCAGGAAGAGGCAACCCTCAAATCACAATTGAAGGGAGGCCGCCCACTTGCGGGGGGCGCAGCTTAAAGAATCAAGTTGGGATTTCAAGATTCATCTGGCTCCAAAAGAAAAGTTCCCCAGCATTTAGGAGTCACAAGGCCCAAGAACAATGAACCCCCATCTCCCAGGCGAGGCCAAAGGTGGAGAAGCAGACCCCCTTCCCTACCCACATGCCACAGCCTTTTGTTTTTCATTCAACTACTGACAACTGTGCTGTAGGGCAGAGAAATCTGGAAACATCAGGAAATCAAACTGTGAAGTGTTTGAAGGAAAGTGATTTATGGGAATAGTGAGATGAAGTTAATGTGTTTGGCTCCTGTACTGGGTGTATTGCCTGATTCTGGAACCTGATCTGATGGCTTTTTGGCTCTCGGCACCCCCTCTCTTTCTGTGAACACAGCTAGCTGGGCTGTGTGTTCCAAGCCTGATCGCATCTGGGGTGCTTTGTGGAGCTGTGTTCCCAGGGCTGGGCTCCTGGACAGAGCCTGTGTAGCCAAGGTGGTGCATGCTCTGAGGGGTGTTTGCTGCTCTGCTCCTCCTGCCACCCCAGACTTCGGGAAGTGAAGAGTTATTAGACTTGTGGGGAGTTTGCTTCCAACCATGGTCCTCAGAGCTCAGATTTGCAGGGAGTTTCCTTGATGCAGTGATGGATCAGAAGAGCATTCACAGCTGCCTCCAGGCAGCTCCAGTCTGCTTTTTCTCCCCAAGAGTTCGCCCTGCCCTGCTCAGGGCAGCCGCCCCTTCCTAATGGATGGGCAGGTCCTACACCATGCTGAGCCCCTGGCCCCGGGGCCCGCCTTGAAAGCCATGGCATCCTGTAGGAGCATCTCCAGTCTCCAGGGCTGGTCTCTGGTTTCTCTGTGGCTCCTGGCTGTGTGGACGGAGCCTAGCACCTGCAGGGGACCGCAACTTGCTCTTTCTGGTAACTCTTTTCCACGAGGGAAAAGAGGACAGGTGCAGAGAAGCCGGAAGCCAAGCCTCTCTCCTAACCAGGCGCGCTGTGTACACACAGCTCTCCCCACAGTGGGCACTGGAGATTGGGCACAAGTTGCCACCCTTTCAGGACAAAGAAACCTCGCATGATGGTTATTTTGGAAGCAGTGACTAAGAGTCAGGAAGAGGACCTCAGGCCTCCGTCCCATGCACAGGAGGCTTCTCCAGAGTGATCCTGGAGTTCCGGAGGGACTCCATCTCTAGAAAATGGGTTCGGTAGCATCCTCTCCCCCTGGGATGCCGGATACAGAGGCCATGGAACCAGGTTTGCCCTGTCAAGGTGGCTAGAGGCTGCTGGTCTTGGATTCTTCTCCTCTTGCCTCCCTGGCTCTAGCTCTCTCTGGCTCCCTGGACGCATATCATCAGAACGCAGTGGGGACAGAGCTACTGTTCCCCTGGGGACACCCTGCCTGGGAGAGGTGGAGCAGGCTAGGGCGGGAGTGGGACAGAACCACTGACCCGTGCAGGTGCATTGCCCTTGTGCCTCTTGGCTGGCACATGTGGACACACGACCCCTAGCACCAGGCCCAATGCCTGGCTGTGGATGGCCTCAGCTCCTGGACTAGATTCTGTGTCTCAGACCCTGGGCCAGCCAGTCTCTGCCACATCCCACAGGGTTTCCAGAGGCCCCCCACCTCCCCACAGAGCAGCAGAGGCTCCTGGGGTTACACAGCATGTATAGAGCTGGGGAAAGGCTGGGGAGGCTTTTCTGGTCAGCCACGCAGGGCTGAGTCTATCTGATGCCTCCCCTGGGGCTTGCAGGGGGACTTGGGGTGTGAAGGTCACATAGGAAAGTGGGTCCAGGATGCTGCGGTGATGAGCTATAGATGCAGTGTGCTGGGCCGAGGGACTCGAGATTTCCACTTATGTGGAGAAACAGGAAAGGTCTGATGGCCACAGGAAAGCCTTAGGTTGCCTAGTTCCGGGTTCTAGCAGTTCTAAGCCACTCTGGGCTGGCTGGGGAGTGCGCTGCTCTGTCTTAAGGTCTAGCCTTTGAGTGGGCTAGCCTGCTCTGTGTCTCTCTCTGTCTCTCACGTACCAGTCCTGGAGCTTGAACTCAGGACTGAACTCTATCCTATAGCTTTTTCACTCACAGCTGGTGCTCTACCGTGTGAATCACAGATCTACCTTGGCTTTTTGCTGGTTCATTGCAGATAAAGAGACTCACGGACTTTCTAGCCCAGGTTGGCTTCTCACCACGATCCTCAGATATCAGCTTCCTACGTCGTTAGGATTACAGGCCTGAGCTACCCGCGCCCAGCGCTGTAGCCTTTTGATTCTTCTTCGTCTCCTCTGCCTTGTCTCCCCACCCCTGACACTGGGGGCAAGCCCTTGAATGGAGGACCTCAAGGCCTTGCAGGAACAGCTAGCACACACCCTTGCCCAGTCAGCACCATCAACATCCGGGCGCCATGACGACCAGCCAGCCAGCACTGGCCAGCCCCATGCTCTTCTCCATTATAAGAGCTGGGTTTGTCCTTCCCGAGCCCAGCTAATGTACAGAAGAGCAGGAGAAGCTCCCATGATTCCCCCTGGCAGTGGGGAAACTCCCTGACCTCCTGGCTCTCCCTTGGCTCAGTTCTGCAGCCCAGGATTTGCACCTGACAGATGCTTCTGAGAGCTGCACTTCACTGACAAAATGAAACCCAGCCCAAGGACCATGAAGCACTGCCACTCAGCGGGGAGCGGTGGCAGTCCTGGGGCCAGCAGGAGGCCGCCAGCACAGGCGGCCGAGGACTGGAGGCAGGGCCAGCCTGGCCAGCATGGCCTCCGTCCCGCTGCCCCTCCTGTCTGTGGCTGGCACACACAGGCCCTGGGCCAGTTCTGGCCGAGCTGATGCTGAGCCTCGATCTCCTCCTGGGTCACGCGGACTCACGCACCTGTGCCCGGGCTTATGAGGATGGAGGGGGAGACGGGGACGGGTGTGAGCATGAGAAAAGCAGGAGTCAGTGCCATGATTGATTGTCTGAGCCAAATGGGACTCGGCGGCTGAATCCCGAAGGCCCGTGGGGATGGCGGCGGCCCCGCCCCCACGAAGCTACTCACACATGGGCTTCAGCTGTCCGATGAGCTCCTCCTTTGTCCATTTCGCCCACTCCTTCTTGTCGGTGTTGATGGAGCAGAGGATGGGCCCGCAAGGCTTGCCACAGTCTTCGATGGCTGGCACGTTCAGGTAGTGGACCAGCACGATGTCGGGGTTCTGTGGGGGAGAGAAATGCCAGGCAGCGTGAGGCCTGGGGGACGGTGGAGGAGCAGGCAGAGCCTATGTGTAGACACAAGGCTGCCCCAGCCTGGTCACTCGGGACCCCAGGAAGCCGGCGACCCAGTGAGGTGGACCTGTGCCCTCTGGGACAGCAAGTCTCTGGTCTCCCTCACCAGGGGTCCTCTCCCTGCACCAGGACAACTGGGGGAAGACCCCAGACACCACCCATGCTCCCTGGGGGCCAAGTCACCCCCCAGCCAACAGGTGGAACACCAACGCCTCTTCCATCCACGGGGCAGAATTGTATTTTCTGCCCAGAGACGCACATGCCATCCGCAGCCACCCTGTCCCTCTCCAAGGCCTTGTGCTTTCTGAACACATCCTCCTCCCCATGTTCTACGGCTTCCGACACAGGCTGCATCTCACCCCCTTCTTCCCTAGGGGGCACCAGGGCCTCCGCCTGCAGTCCAGGCCGCACACTGCACAGACAGAAGCCAGGAGGCGGCCTGAAGGACAGCAAGCTGCAAGCCTGTATGGGAAGGGAGCCGGACGCTGGTAGCTCACACCTGTAATCCAAGCTACACAGGAGGCTGAGCTCCAGCCTGGGCAGGAAAGCCTTTGAGATTCTTATCTCCAACGAATCACCATAAAGCCAGAAGTGGAGGTGTGGCTCCAATGGCAGAGCACCGGCCTTGAACACACAAGCCAAGGCATCTATGCCCAGGACCCGAGTTTAAGCCCAAGTACCAGCCTCAACACAAGAACAAGAACAACACTCAAGCGGCTCCATCTCACTAGCAGGGCCTCTTCCCATCTGACTCAGTCCAGAAGGCCCTGGGCCCCTTCCTGCCTGCCGCCAGGCTGTGGTGGTGAGGAGCCAAGGAGCAGTGGCTTGGGGGCAGTGAGCCTGGCTCCCGGGGTCTCCCACGGCCCTCTGCAAGGCCCGGCTCTTTGTATGGTGACATCAGGTCCGATGAGTTCATTAAAAACAGTCATGCTGTGCCACGATAAATCTGCTTAACGCTATTTCTGAGCAGAACTTCTTGAACTATTTCTCTTGCCCTCTATATTTATTTTCCTTACTTGCTTATTGCAGTACTGAGGTCTGAACTCAGCCCTTTGTGCTTTCGTTATTTTTCATGGAGGATCTTAGTTTTCTTGCCCAGGATGACCTGGACAGTGATCCTCCTACTTCATTCTTCCTGCATAAGCCAGGATGACAGGTACGTACCATCATCTCCCTAGCTTGCTTGCTTTTCTTTGCTTTCTTTCTTTGCTTTCTTTCTTTCTTTCTTTCTTTCTTTCTTTCTTTCTTTCTTTCTTTCTTTCTTTCTTTCTTTCTTTCTTTCTTTCTTTCTTTCTTCCTTCCTTCCTTCCTTCCTCCCCTCCCCCCCCTTTCTCTTGCTGACTTTGCTGCTCAGGCTGGCCTTGAACCATTATCCTCCTGATCTCTGCCTCTAGGGTTACAGGCATAAGCCACAGTACCTTTTTTTTTTTTTGGTCTCTTTATGAGGAAATCAAATGCAACACATCAAGACATTACAAGGAACTAGGGAAGAAGTCCATAGCTGTGTGTGTGTGGGGGGGGGGGGGCGGTGGCAAGGTGCAGGTAAAGGGATCTTCTGTGTCTCAGCTCCTCTGCTTCTCCTGAGCTTGAATTCTGGGACAGGGCACCCTCAGCATGGGGAAGCTGATCCCCAGCTGCTTTTTTGGATGTGGTCAGAACAAGAGTCATAAATGAATATAGGAATCGATCGGCCCATTAATAAATAAAGACTCAAGACTGCACCATGACTCGAGTGAGGGGTGGACTGGCATAATTCCACAAGATTTCCAGTAAGACGTGAAACATAGTTGGCTTTTTTTCCCCCCACTTGCCAACACTCAGTTAACCAGGAAATTAAATCAACACAAACAGGAGCCTTCTCGTTCATGGCAGCTTTTCTGGATTGTGGTAATCAGGCTCTTTAATAATGACGATAATGCCTGACTTGAGCATGACACTTTATTCTTTTCAGACCACTTTCTGGCCATTACCTCATTTGGTCCTGGAGCCAGCCAGGGAGGCGGGTGGGCGGGGTGGGGTGGGGCAGGGCACCTCCATCTGGCTTGCTGGAGCTGCCTGCCTGGCGGGGTGGGGGGGGGTGGGGAGGGTGGGCCTGTGCTGCATGCCCATGCTCTGAGTCCAGGTTTGGGTCCTGCCAAAACAGCTGGTGGGCTCTTTTTGCCTGGCTATCTCCCACCCCACTTCAACCTTGCAATACGCCCAGGAGGGTGGTGGGGAGGGCAGCCTGGCATAGAGTAAACCAGGGGAGACAGAAGGAACGCACCACCCCCCCAACCCAAGTCCTAGTCCTGTGTGCCATCCGACCCATGGGCTGGGACTCAGGGTTCCTGCCTGGCCAGGGGGGTGCTAGCTGCTGCTGAGCAAGCCCAGCAAGGATCAAAGGGCTTCAGGGACCAGCAAGCTACCTGGGGAATCCTCTGATCCAGCCTCTGGAGCAGGAGGCCAGCCCTGCAGGAGGGAGATGAAAGACTGCTCCTGCTCGCCCCCTCCTCCAGCCCGGCTGAGCAGAGCCCAGGACTGCTCTAGGACACGAGGTGGTACAGGTCCAGCTGCATGGAGAAGAAGAACTTGAGCCCCACAGCCTGGCAGGGGCGGGGGGGGGGTCCTATTTCTGGAATCTCTGAGGTCTGTCTGCCAGGCTCATTTCCCATCTGTAGCACCAGTTCCCACCTATTCTTTGAGGATGGTACCAGTACCCTCTCCCCTTCTTCCAGGAAGCCTTCCCTGGCCTGGTCTCGTGCCTCTCCTGGGCAGGGGGGTGATCTGATGGCAGGGAGGGGGCTTCACTGACTCTGCCTTATCTCCTGGGCCTCAGGGACAGGCCCTGGGACAGTACCACATCTGGCAGAACCGTGCTCACATCAGACTGGTAGAAGTAAACAGGTTGAATTATGGCCTCTGGTCCTTCCCCTCCCACCACGGGGCGCAGGTGGTGGTGGGGTGGGGTGGGGGTGGGGGTGGGGGATGGGTACTGCTGAGCACAGGCTATGCCCTGGAGAGTGGCGGGTGAAGCTGGTCCTAAACCTCCTCTGGGTCTCTGGCGTCTGGGAATCTGATGAAGGAGTGGGTGCCCCATCCCTGTTTCCGAGAAACACCCCAAGACACCCCAACATTCCCTGTCAGACGTTCACAGATTCAACTGTGGGCGGCCTCCGCACGGTCACTCTGAATTTGGGGGCCCTGGATCTGCGGCTTTTCACTAGTGTGTGCTGCCCAGGGCCCCTCCAGCCGGCCTTTCTCACCATGGCTTTGACATAAATCACAGGAAGTGTACCCCCCTCACAGGAAGTGTACCCCCCTCACAGGAAGTGTGGCCCTGACCACCTGGGTTTGGGATTAGGAGGGGTGGAAGCAGGCATTGTGGTGGCCCTGATTTCTGTCTTTAACCCAGATTACAGTCTTGGGGAGCCCTGGTCTGGGGACCCCTGCTACACTATAGTGCCTCCCTCCAGGCTTTGAGACACTGAGAGACTGAGGTATTTTCGGAGCTGTGGGATGTGTGTTAGTTTCTGGCAGCGCTGTAATTTCACTCATTAGTTGTGCATTGTGCAGGGTATTTAGGCTTGGTAGGAAAAAGTGCTCATCAGAGTCTTGATGAACAGGTTTGTGGAGGGCGGCTGACCACGCTAGGGCCTCATACCATGCCAGCTGAGCAGAGCTGCTCTGGCAGCAGGGAGAGGGGCTGGGCTTGAGGGGGGGTGGACAGCAGGACACTGGGTGATGGAAGGTGCTAGAGAATAGCCCCTCAGGTGAGCATGGCCTTCTTGAGGATAAACCCCCAAATGACCTGGAGTTCTAGCGGGGGGGGGGGGGGGGGGTTCCTAGCTCGGTGCCGGTGATCACGCCTGTGATCTAGCTACAAAGGAGGCTGAGATCTGAGGATCGCAGTTCAAAGCCAGCCCAGGCAGGAAAGTCCCCGTGAGACTCTGATCTCCAATTAACCACTCAAAAACTGGAAGTGGAGCTGTGGCTCGAGTGATAAGAATGTTAGCTTTGAGCACAAAGAGGCTCAGAGATAGCATCCAGGCCCTGAGTTCAAGCCTCACAAATGACAAATAAAAAGGAAAAAGAAAAAAGAAGAGCTGGGGTTCTATGGTTAAGGAAGGCAAGGAACTCAGTGTCAGAGTTCAAATCCTGAAGAGATGTGGGCTCGGAGGCCCCCGACCCGCCTCTTCCTCTAGGAAGGGAAGCGGGCCCAGCTTGCTCAGCAGGCTGCCTGTTCTAGGGAGCAGTAGCCTGGCTCTTGAAAGGCACAAGTGCCACATGGATGGCTGGAAGCCCTGCCATTCTCACCACCAAACCAAACCCAAACGAAGCCTGGAGGTGTTTCCTAAGGGACAGAGTTCAGCTTCTAGCAGGCAGTCCACCAGTCCACCAGGGACCTGCCACAGCTCCCTGTCATGACCCCCACTGTGGGGCCCCCTTCCTTGGTGGGCACTTAGCGGGGTCTCCCCTCCCCCCAGCTTCCTTGGTGATCTCCTCTGCCGGCCCATAGACCTAGATAGCTAGATGTGAGGGCTCTGTGTCTGGCCGCCTCTGCTTCATTCTGGCCCACCCATCTGCCTGCCTATGGACAGCTTCCAAAACAATCTAGCAAAAACAGACACATCACTGGACACTGTGTGGGAAATGAGCTCTACAACCTGTGGCTGGGGGTGGGAGGGAAACATTGGGAGAAAGTGATGGAAGGTGTCACACTGTGCACAAAGAAATGACTGGCTGAAATGTAACTGTAACCCCTCTGTACATCATCCTTACAGCAACAATAAAAATTAAATTAAAAAAATGTGAAGCCAGGCCCCGGTGGCTCACACCTGTCATCCTAGCGACTCAGGAGGCTGAGATCTGAGGATCACAGTTCAAAGCCAGCCGGGGCAGGAAAGTCCATGAGACTCTTATTTCCAATTAACCACTAAAAAAATGCTGAAAA